CATGAGAACAAACCAATTCCACACTAAAGTCTTTAATACGGGACCGTAATGTGACTTTATCATCACTAAATCCACCTTTAACGGGCAGTTTACGTCTGAAACACTTCTTTTAAATACCTCACAACGACACAAGTCTGCCCCATCAATTTGAACCTGCAGACTCAAATACAAACATCAGGATCAGACGCTCATGGCTGGATAAGTGGAAAAGTTTTACCCAACAAGATGTTCCAGTCGGTTGTGAATTTAAAGGAGCGCTCTGCGGGTTTGAAACCCTTTCAAGGAGTGGATCTGTCTGGAAAACCTGAGCACAGCCGCAGAGTGATACAGCAGCAGGTAGTTTATCGTCTATTTTATTCAAATCGGGACGATAATTTACAAAATTCACAACATGCTGTGTTCAAAAAGTCTTTAAACTAGCAACTGAGACCATGAATTAATTGGAAAGATGTTACTGAAGGTAACAGATCGAGTGAGAAGTCGGGTGATTTTCTCATAGACTTGTGACCAGATGAGTCGCCCCCTGCTGGCTGTTAGTAAGAATGCAGGTCTTTCACTGGAATCAACCATTTCTGGGGTCAAAACACATTAAAATAATTTTCTACTGCTGGTTAGAATAAATATTTCACCTGTAACATCAACACAATGCATATTATGATCACATATATACGTGAGATCAGTCTAAAGCTCGTGGATTTTAGGTTTTAATTTCCCCACTTTTGTTGCTGCTGCTCCCTCTGATGCAAATTTAAAGGCAGGTACAATCAGGATTATAGTTTTTGTACCGTTAAGGACGCTGCCTCTGGTGTAAAACAACTCGTTTCTCGCGACATTCCAGAAACAAAGCCGGGATTAGACGTCGAAACGTCTCAGAGGAAAGAGGAAAGAAGTGAAGGTTTTTACCCTCTTAAACGAAACAGTCCGAGCTCGATCCAGCTCGATTGTAGCGGCACAATCACCGAAGCCGGAGTCACTGTGTTGCTCCGCTTTGAGAAGCACGGATGGGCGGAATTGCATTAGATACACTCGAATCCCAGATTTAATTGAAGCTGGCAACTGTAAGAGGTTCCCGGGATGCTTTAAAAGCCGTAATTTGTGTGATATAGGTCCCCAGATGAGGGGAAGACGGGATGAGTCACGTCAGCATCATGCATCAGGCTGAAGAGAGACTCGCGAGCAGCAGCAGCGGCTCTCCGTCGTCGAATGTTATGTAAATTACAGTAGGACCGTATGGAAAACCAAGGAATTAGCGAGGAGTAAAGAAAATGGGTTTGGCTCTGACCTGGTTTAATTTGAAATCAAACGCAGCTCCACCAGTCTGACTAAGAAGGTTTCACGTCGCTGCCAGAGCGATTGTACACGACAATAGAGAGACGAGCTCAATCCAGGCAGAAAATAGACGCTCAGGATTTACTTCATGTACGGCTTAAGGTAAAACAGAGCAGCGGGGAAAACAATATTCTTTAGCTTAAACTTTTCCCATCAAGAGTCGGCCTCATAATTCCTCATTTTAGTTTAAATGCGTCTTTTTTTCGTTGCTGTAAAGCACCAAAATCCAGGAACCGTATTGTTTCTAAGCACTCGCAGAGAGTGATAGAGTGTTAAACGTCGAGGGAAAGTAATTGGCATCTACTTATGCATGAAAATGCCTGCGAGTAATCATTGAATTATTCATCTAATATGCTAAGTATTTCTATTTCAATGCCTTAAACCTCCCTCGGTGGAAAATTACATAACTTAAGTAATGAGCAAATTAGAAGGAGTCACTTTTCAAGGATGAGAAAACGGAGGGATCTCGTATCGTCTTCGCATCACAGCTCGCCGCCGCCGCCGTAGTTTGAGACGCTCGGCCCGAGAACATTTATCTAAAGAATTAAAAAACTATATATTAGGTGGACAGAATCCTCTCATGTGTTCTTCAACCAATCAGACGGGAAGCGGCTTCATTTCTTTTTCTGAATGCTCTCAATTTGCATCCAATAACTCAACAAAAAAAAAAAGAAGAAGAAGAGATACAGAATATCTACATTTATTACTCATGTGTAAAATTGGTTTACACTCCTTTAATTTCATCTGTCTAAATGATAAAATACTTAAATTCAAATTTGCTGCGCACTTAATTGTTTCGTAACAGATGCATCCGCCGCTCGTCCTCAAATCATTAATGCGAGTTACACGATAAGACTCCACTCGTTTTTGTTTTTTTAAATTTAAATAATTCGGAACGCTTTATTATTTTCGTCTTTATCAAGACATTCTGCTCTATTAGTTGTTTTTAATTTTCCGCAGTCGCTCGTCTCCATGTGTCGTAGTTGCTCGTTTAGAAGTTTGTCTTCATTAAACGAATCCTTTCCTGTAATTAAAACGGCTCAGATGTACGTAGCTCTGCACCACTGATTGATCATGAACACACAAATCTACACATTTCTTGCCTATGTGTAAAAGTTGTCATGCTGGAGTGAGTCGGGCGTCCACGTTGGACCCGAAAAACTGATTCTGAAAAAGAAGAATGACCTATAGTAGCAGGAGTTGACGGGATTGGCTGCTCGTGTTTGTGACATATGAAACCCTGGAAGTCTGAATCCGTGTTTTTAAGAACTGTGGAAATGTTGATTCATGACGTTGACTGATTGTTTTGCTCAGGATGTGTCGTCTGGCATGTAAAAAAACACAATTTTGACACCTTACAGAGGCATAAAACTGGATTTTTTACTGCAGAAGATTCATTTTTTTAAAAATGTACTTTATTTTCAGCACTTGTTGTTGGTACATTATATTAAAAATGCTGATAAAGTGTTAAATTTCCCTCATATGTACTAACCATTAGTTAGTTGTGGTGTTTAGTTCCTGTTCCTTGATTTCCAGACTTTGCTGCATCCTCTCCATTCACCAGAAACTTCTGAACGTCTCCTGAAGGTCTGAGGACTCTAGAACGGATACTTCAGGAGATGTGGACGTCTGAAAGTGGATCTGGTTCAATTTCCAACTCGCTAATGAAATGAAATGAAATGAAATGAAAATGAATGAAAAATGAAATGAAATGAAATGAAAAAATACTTTATTCATCCCAGAAGGGAAATTCAATCCTGTAAAAGCTCACCTTTCTTTTTTTTTTTTTTTTAAATCAATATAACATATATAATGTTGATGATTGATGATGATTGATGATAATGATTCATCCATTGGATGAAAAGTTATAAAAATGTTGGAATTTCAGCTAAAAAATGGGCAGATGTCAGTTTCAGATGTCAAACATCATTCCTGGAAAGTTTCAGCAGATTCTGAGATGGTCCAGAAACCACCAGAACGACCCAGTTGTTCCATCTGAAGTCATGGGTTGTGAACACATGATGGACCTGATGGGCTGAACCAGAGGTCCTTGGTATTGTTCAAACTCAGGTCATGATGATGATGAATGAGGCGTCAAAATGAGCTCTAAGTGCTACAAATGACTGATAATTACATGTGGATTCGGTCCAGATACGCTGGTTCTGCTTGTCAGGGTCACTTCAGGTCAACAAAGTCTCTCCAGCTCAGTTCCTGCTTGAAGTTCAGTGCCAGCGTGTTGTTGTGATGCCTGGCGGCCTGTTTCTGTCCAGGTGTCATGTGCTGTCCCCTGCAGCCCGGTCTGCCACTTCATGTGTCACAGCCACTGCTGCAAACACAACTAGCATCAGCACCACAGCTACCTCACCATCACACGCTGCTGCTCTTCTTCTTCTTCTTTTTCTGTGCAAAAGCCTCATTTGTCAACTCGTGATTATCAAATGCACCAATACAATCGACTCCACCGATACAGACTGTGCAATATTTGCTGTAATTTGATGAGCTGAGATTAAACAAAACGTGTGAAGATGGGAGCAGATCTGAGACGTAGCAGCAGAGCCTCGTTCTTCTGCTGCTTCTGTCGTGTGAAGTGAAAAGCAGAGCGGCAGCTAGCAGCGCTCAGAGGCTACGCTCACACTGTAAGATATCATTATTGTGTGCTTAGCGCTCGCCCTGCGTGATGCTCTTGTTACACCAGCATCTGATGAAAGTGGATGTTAAAGATGGAGCCAGCGTTCATCAGTGACCGCTGCCTCCAAGTGCTGGACAAGAAAACCAGGATGCATTCCAGCCAGAGAGTGCAGCGCCAGCGTTAGCGCGCCGCCACACCACCCCGGCTGTAGGATCGACGTTAAACGTTTAATATTTTAAGAAAGGCAGCCGCCACAGAAACCAACAGCTCCTGAGCATAAAAGGAGTTTATTTGCCGTCATGCAGATTACGGGCAGACAGCGGTTTATGTGGTACTTCCAATTTCAGGCTGGATTAATTATGCCATTAGGAGGGGGTAAATAAATAGTTTTAATAAGGGGGACTGCCCAAGGCCTGTCACTGAATTAATATATTCCTCCAGCAGAGCATGACCACCATCCAACATCTGCAACAAAAGTCAGTCATGTTTACCGACGGGTGCAGACGGCAGGGAATATTAATTGCAGGCGTGTCAGGGGATGTCTGACACTAAATCTCCTTTAATTGTTTAGTGAGGGGATATGATGGAACAATTGGTGGTGAGGAAGCCAATTTTGCTCCGTCGATAGAGGTCAAAGCGACGCGGAGACCTTGAACGCCTCAGAGTGCCAGTTTAACACGCTGCATGCACAAACTGTACAAACACAAGTCTCCCTTTTACGGCCAATTTTTTGAATTGTGCCGTTTTTAATGTAGGTAACCTTTACTGAGCTGATAAACAGAAGCCTTTTAGTTGAATTACTGCCTCCTCCGGCTTCATTCCCCACTATTTATTCGTCTCTTTCTTGTTATATGTTGCTGATGGCGTTATTATGACTAATTCTGTGCCTCTGACGAGCGTAATCACACCGTGGGACGCCCTCCTGGGAGTGTTTTCTCTTTTCAGCCCCTCCACAGGCTCCCTAAAAGTTTCATCACCCAACAATTTAGGACTTTTTATGAAATTTGTGTTGTGCAATTTAACAGTCTTTTCATCGCCACACATGGCTTTTCACTCCTCGCCTTGTAAAAGCAGAATGAGGCCGCATGCTGCTGCGTCTTCGATCCTACAGCCGGGGTGGTGTGGCGGCGCGCTAACGCTGGCGCTGCNACTCACAATTTTACTCACTTTCTTCTAGAAACTAAAAATGCGTCTCAGCTACTCGGATGAGCAGCTGCCTCACAGTCCAACAGCTTTATTGACTTTCTAAAGCTACTTCTGCTAAAGTCTGAGATGTCTGAACCGCGAGCAAAACTCACCGAACAAGTGAACACAAGAGTCTTCATGCACTCAGAACTCGTCCAAAATAACTGAAACTTGTTTAACGTGACTCATAGTTCATCTAAAAGGAGCTGAAAACTAGCTGCAAGAGTGAACACGAGAGTTTTCATGCACTGGAATGTGCCCTAAATGAATGAAATTATTCCAAATGTGTTAAAAATGACGCAAAGAGTTCTGAGCTGCGAGCAAAACTCAACAAATGTTCTGCAATGTGGCTGCAAGAGTGAACACAAGAGTCTTCATGCACTCCAAACATTGAAGAAACTGAACTCCCAGCGGATTATTTTCGATGGCGTTGTCCCCACAACGATCGTAGAATCCTCAGTGTTAGCTTGTTGTTTAGCTAATGTGGCTAACGTTAGCACTGATGGTCAGAGCTCTGTCAAAACTTTAATGTAACCCAGTAAACCAGGACTGGGAGGTTCAGTGTTTAATCTAAACCAGTAAAGCAGGACTGGGTGGCTTCAGTGTTTAATCTAAACCAGTAAACCAGGACTGGGTGGTTCAGGGTTTAATCTAAACCAGTAAACCAGGACTGGGTGTTTCAGGGTTTAATCTAAACCAGTAAACCAGGACTGGGTGTTTCAGGGTTTAATCTAAACCAGTAAACCAGGACTGGGTGGTTTAGTGTCTAATCTAAACCAGTAAACCAGGACTGGGTGGTTCAGTGTTTAATCTAAACCAGTAAACCAGGACTGGGTGGTTCAGTGTCTAATCTAAACCAGTAAACCAGGACTGGGTGGTTCAGTGTTTAATCTAAACCAGTAAACCAGGACTGGGTGGGTCTTACAAATTCACCAAACACGAGTTAAAAACAGTGACTGTGCTGAGAATTTGTTGATAGGTTGAATGATCCTGTCAATCACAGAGTCAGAGAGAGTCTTCTTCCTGAAGGGGGCGGAGCCAGCAGGATTTAAAGCTACAGACACTGAAACAGCCTGTTTAGATAAACCAGTAGCTGGACTTTCACCACAAAGACCAGAGTTCATGTCNCATGACCTGAGTTTGAACAATACCGAGGACCTCTGGTTCAGCCCATCAGGTCCATCATGTGTTCACAACCCATGACTTCAGATGGAACAACTGGGTCGTTCTGGTGGTTTCTTGACCATCTCAGAATCTGAAACTTTCCAGGAATGATCTTTGACATCTGAAACTGACATCTGCCCATTTTTTAGCTGAAATTCCAACATTTTCATAACTTTTCATCCAATGGATGAATCATTCGCGAGTTGGAAATTGAACCAGATGCCACCTTCAGACGTCCACATCTCCTGAAGTATCCGTTCTAGAGTCCTCAGATCTTCAGGAGATGTTCAGAAGTTTCTGGTGAATGGAGAGGATGCAGCAAAGTCTGGAAATCAAGATTCAGTTTTTTGCTTTAGACCTCTCAAAGTCAGGATTTGGTCAAAAATCGCCCAAAAATGAAATGAAATGAAAAATACTTTATTCATACCAGAAGGGAAATTCAATTAAAAAAAACAAACTATCTCTAACACATAGGATCTGTTTGATCATTTTTATCATGAGAATAACATCTGAATGACATCACTAATGCTTAGAAAGCTTTTGTTTGTCAGTAGAAATGGGAGTCAGTGCTTCTCTGTGGTCTGAAACAGTAATTCCTCCTCATGTCATTATTCAATCATCTGAATGAGCTGCACATAAAAGGTGCTAAAAATCACAAAGCAAAGCCTTTGATAACCGTAATGTTCGTAGTAGTTAGTGAGCGACTGGGAAAAATATTAATGTACCACTTTTTAAGACCTCTGACGGCCTTTTTCTTTAGGTAAACAATAATTTTTATGACTTTTGTTTGAAGACTAGAAGGTGTGGATCCATGGAAGTGACTGATTATTTCACTCATGATAAAATAAACCCCAAACTGGGATCTTCACCAGGTATAAAACATCATTTTTACTGAACGGTGTCTCCATAAATAATAATGCAGACAGATGTGCATGCGATTCATGACATTTTAGGCTTTTACCAGCTAGAAAACAACATTTAAAAGAGCCTGAATGTCCTCTGAAGGCAGTTTGTTGAGGAAATAATTGACTTTTAAGACTTTTGAAGATGCCAAATAGATAGATTTCAGTTCACTGGACAAATGAATCTATAAAGTCAGACGCCTTATGGTGAGACTGCAGTGCACCAATGGAGACTTCAAACCCACTGATTCCTACTTGTAGGGTTTCTTACATTACAAACCAGGAGAACCGGCGCTCAGCGTGCAGGGTGGAGCTTCCTGTAATCTTCCTCCTCTTCATAATTCATTTCCAGTTTGATCGTGCATGCGTGAGCGACTCCTAATGTAGTACTATATAATATATGTAGCCCAGTAGTTTGACGGCGTTTGAACAGATTGGCAGATGAACTAGTGCGCTTAAAACGCATGCATTTTAAAGGAGGCGACAGCGTGGAGCCACACTTACGCTATATTAGGGCATTAATAAGTCATTTTTTTGACGGTAAAACAGTATTAAATATGCAAGTTTGATGCACGGAGGTGAGCCGTTGGGGTTCTTCTGACAGTTCTGCAGAGTGGACCATGATTTTTTATTTTCTTTTAGTTTTATTCAGCATCCAAAATAAATGCAGGAAGGTTGAAGGACAGCTACGAGCCTCATTTGCTAAGAAGAAATAACAGATCTTTGCGTAATAAGTCTTCGAGTGCAAATGAGACAGAAACGACGAGCGTGATGATATTTCTTTTCCTTTTTTTTTTTTTTTTCTCGGGTTGTAACTTGTTTTGTTGCCAAGAAAACATCCACTTATGTAAAGATGACAGATTGCTGGCTGCGTGTCTATTATGGTCATCGGATTATGTGTCTGGCTGACAGGTGAGATGAATGATTGATGGAGCTCGCGTCCGGCTGTGGGTGGCGTATTAGAATAACAGGGGCCCCCAAAGACTCGGCGCTCAGGGGAATCCTTTAATTCGTCCTTGTCTGAACCGCCGACTGTCTCCTGCAAAAAAAGAAAAAATAAAATCCAAAAATAGTTCATGTCGGGGAGGGAGGAGGAGACATTAGGCCACTCCACCTGTTAGACACACCGACGGTGGATCGTATTCTCAATGTCACCGAGTTTTCTCATGTTTATTATCATTATTGTTATTATCATCACGAACTCGTTTCTTTTTCCTCGCAGGCGTAAAATGAATCCCCCAGCGTATACAAAAAAAAAAAAGCATAACAAAGCACAAGGAAGATGGAGAGATAAATAAATAAAGATGAAAATGAATGCAGGTGAAGCAACGCGACCGGTTTGCGGCAGACGATCTGCCCTTGAGCTCTGAGACGGATGGGAGATATCACCGTGGTTACTGTAAATAGGTTAACTGTACCCTTTTTTTTTTCCATTTTCACACAATTCACAGCCGCTAATGTTGTCGCTGCGAGCTTGTTATTGTCGTACAGTTCGCCTCTTTCATGAGTGAAACACGGCAAGGAGTGAACCGTAATGACCACCCCTGCCTGATAAAGCCTCCCACCGGCCTTTCATGTGCAGCCAAGCCCGATCCGACCCACTGAGGCTTGGACTGAACCGGGCCTCTGAAGGTGTCCTGGCACCCAGACATCAGCGGCAGATCCTCTAAAGGTCCCATATGGTGAAATTCCACTTTTACTGTGTCTTGAAAAAAACCTGGAGATGTAAAATAAAACCTGAGGATATGAAGATGCTCCTCAACTAGACGGAGCTTTACAAGC